CTCTATTAAGTACCTAATATGAGTGCTTATACATTATAAAGGTGAGTGGGCACTTCTCAAGGTTCTAACATTAATGCACCTTTCTTCTATAAATTCTAAACTAGCTCATTCATGCTCATGGCTTCCATCACTATCATTTAAATTAAAAACTCCCAAATCCACATACCCAAGCAAAACCTTGTTTCTAAGTTCTAAACCCTTTACTTCTAACAGTCTGGTGGTAACCATCCTTCCTCAAATTTCCCGGAGGCATCCCAAAATATCTAAAACAAAAACCTCATCTTCTCCCTCTATATTTACTCATCTTTCTGTACTTCCCAACCTCTCTTCATTCATTTAACAAATAAGTATGTACTAGGACCAATAAGAGGCACTGAGAATACAAAGACATGTTAACTGCTCAAAAGGAACTCAGTCTAGGAAGCAAGGGACAGTGAAAATAATGATATAACCCAATACCTACAAAGATTGACATATGCACAAAGTGCTACAGAAGAATAAAACTGGAGAGGAGGAATTGGGAAAGGTATCCTGAAAGATTTAATACCTAATTTAATTTTAAAAGAAAAACAGGAGTTAAATCAGTGAAAACCAGCACTGAAAAGAAACATGCTATCAATAGGCTGTTACAAGCAACTTAGAATGCAAAATCCAAAGCAAGCAGTGGCAGCCATAAACCAAATCATAGGTACCTTAAAGGCCATATTAACAAACCTATACTTCATCCTGAGTACAACAGGTAGCTTCAAATGAGTTTCAGGCAGGGGAATGATGTGGTAAGGCTTCTGTGTCAGGTATTTCTAGTTCTTGTGTGGAAAGGTGAAGAACAGAGGCAGTCATATGACTGAATAGTCCAGGCAAGAGGAAATCTTGTAAGAGAGGCAATGGTGGTAAAGTGAGAAAGAAGAGACACAACAAATAAATAATTAGAAAGCTAAGTTGATGAGCCTTTATAATTCACTAGAGGCCTGGTGCACAAAATTCGTGCACAGGCGGGGAGGGTGGGGAGGATCCCTCAGCCCAGCCTGCACCTCCAATCTGGGACCCCTTGAGGAATGTCCAACTGCCTGTTTAGGCCTAATCCCAGTAGGATCGGACTAACCCAGGACTGTTGGCTCCCAACTGCTTGCCTCCCTTCCTCCCTGATTGCCCCTTACCACTTCTGCCTGATCACCCTAACCAATCCCTGCCAGCCTGATTGTTGCCTAACTGTTCCCCTGCCAGCCTGATTGTCCCTAACTATCCTCCCCTGAAGGCCTGGTCAGCCCTAACTATCCTTCCCTGAAGGCCTAGTCCCCCTGCCTTCCCCTACAGGTCTGGTCACCCCTAACTGCCCTCCTCTACAGGCCTGGTCCCCCGCCCCCCAACTGTTTGCCCTGCAGGCCTGGTCACCCCTAACTGCCCTCCCCTGCAGGCCTGATCTCTCCCAACTTCCCTCCCCTGCTGGTGGCCATCTTGTGGTGGCCATCTGGTGTCCACATGGGGGCAGCCATCTTATGTGTTGGAGTGATGGTCAATTTGCATATTACTCTTTTATTAGATAGGATTATTAGATAGGATTGGCTATCCAGGGACTATCAAGGAGGAAGAGTACCCACAAATCAGTAAGAATAAGAAAAGAAATCCAATAGAAAAATAGGAAAAGGCAATAATCAGGCAATTTATAGAATAACAAAAGGCCATTAAACGCATTTTAAAAGCTCAATGAAAATTATAACAAAGGGATATCATTCTTGTTCCCAACTCCCAAAAAATATTCACAAAATTTTAAAAGATTGGTAATATCAAATGTTAGTGAATGTGTGGAAATACAAACAGGCCGAAGCCGGTTTGGCTCAGTGGTAGAGCGTCGGTCTGCGGACTGAAAGGTCCCAGGTTCGATTCCAGGCAAAGGCATGTACCCTGGTTGCAGGCACATCCCCAGTAGGGGGTGTGCAAGAGGCAGCTGGTCGATGTTTCTCTCTCATCGATGTTTCTAGCTCTCTATCTCTCTCCCTTCCTCTCTGTAAAAAAATCAATAAAATATATTTTTTTAAAAAAACAGACCCATACACTAGTAGTGGAGTATAGCTTGGAACACCCTTTTGGAATGCAATTTAATAGTATATATCAGCACATAAAGCATACATTACCCTTGAACCAGCAATTCTATTTCTAAAAAATGTAGCTATTCACACTTATATAAAAAGCTATATGCAAGGATGTTCACTGCGGATGATTTAAACAAGAATATGGAAAGAACCTAAATATCCATCCTTAGGCAGAGATTAAATCAATTATGGTAATCTATACCACAGAAGATTATCTGAAGTATATATGAAATGAAATGGAAAGATTCCAAAAGTATACATAATTTAGGAGGAAAACTAAATCACAGAACAATATATTCCAATTTGTTAAAAAAAATAATAAGAGCACATATATGTTTGTGAATGTACAGAAAAAGGTCTGGAAGAACACAAAACTTCAATATGGAGAGAAGAGTGGAATAGAGTAATGGACAGGATAAAGTAATACTCATTTTTCATTCTAGCTAAATATAGTTTGATTTTTTTGCCCCCACACAAACATGAACTACTTTTATTTATTTATTTTATTTATATTTTATTGATTTTTTACACAGAGGAAGGGAGAGAGATAGAGAGCTAGAAATGTCGATGAGAGAGAAACATCGACCAGCAGCCTCCTGCACACCCCCTACTGGGGATGTGCCCACAACCAATGTACATGCCCTTGACCGGAATCGAACCTGGGACCTTTCAGTCCGAAAACCGACGCTCTATCCACTGAGCCAAACCGGTTTCAGCATGAACTATTTTATAATTTTTAAAATGAGCCTGGCTGGTGTAGGTCAGTGGTTGAGCATCAACCTATGAACCATGAGGTCACACAAATTCAATGCCCAGGTGCAGACTTGATCCCCAGTGTGGGGTGTGAAGGAGGCAGCTGATTGATGATTTTTTTCATCATTGATGTTTCTATCTCTTTCTCCCTCTCCCTTCCCCTTTGAAATCAATAAAATATTTTTAAATGAAAAACCTAATGTGTATGTCAAGTGGATTGTGACTAGCTAATAAAACAATTTGATATGTAAATAAATTCAGTGGCTTTTCTAAATCCACCACCCAAGCTAATAGGTGTTTAATAAAAACTACTGCTAGCCTTTACAGTGTGGCTAAGTGGTTAGAGTATCAGTCCACACACCGAAGGATCTAGGGTTCAATTCCCAGTCAAGGGCACATACCTGGTTTGCAGGTTCAATCCCCAGCCCCAATCAGGGTGCATTTGGAGGCAATTAAGTGATGTGTCTCTATCACTTTGATGTTTCCTTCTCTCTCTCCACCTCCCTCCCTTCTACTCTAAAAATTCAATGGAAAAATATTCTCATGTGAGGATAAACAACCAAAAACACCTACGGCTAAACATCTCCTGCGATTAGCTATTCTTACATTTACTTTACATATTGCCCAAAGTGCTTGCAACATTTACCTGTGCTCTTTCCTTGTAAAGCAGCCCACTTTTAGTACTTATGATGCTCAAAACTGCACTCAAAAATTTTTTTTGCAATGCACGAGTCATTTTTTTTATAGAGAAGTTTATTGATTTTTAGAGAATGAGGGAGAGAAACATCCATGTGAAAGCTTAACATGGACTGGCTGCCTCCTGCATGCCCCCTACTGGGGATTGTGCCCCCAAAGCTAGACATGTGCCCTTGACCAGGAATAGAACCAGCAACCTCCCAGTGCACGGGACAATGCCCAATCAACTGAGCCACACTGGCCAGGGTGCAGGAGTCACATTAATTGCTGTGTCACATCCTTATGTCCTTAATTTTTTTTCAAAAGTTTTTAAAAACTATAATCAATGTTTATTATTCTTGATATGAATAGTTGTAATGAAATTTAAGTGACTAAGAAAACAATTAGGACAACAGTCGAGAAAGAAATATTTGACCCATAATTTAACTAAAACTTGGCTTTTATTCATTGTTTGCTAAAATAGTGTACTCTTCAACAATTTCTCAAGAGCATAAACTAGTTTTGAAACTTTCCCTTTGTTATATAATAAGTATTTCTTTATAACAAATTCATTCTGATGACTGTGTTTAACATTCTTTTACTTCTAAAAACAAATCTCTCGGGGTAACCTTCAAGTTATTTTATTTCCCATCATCATTTTCCTCAATATCAAAGGGATGACTAACATAACTAAGTGAAGGGGAAGCTTCACTTCTGAAAGTAAATAAAAAACAGCAATGAACATCTGCTTTCAGTAGAACACCTCTTTCATATCTAAGGTCAACAAAGAAGGTACTCATTCATTTTGGCTAGTGGATGATTACAAATGAATAACTTTTTTTTAATAACTTGCTGTCATGGGCTGAATTGTGTACTCCCATCAACTACGAACCAAGGAGAGAGGCCTCAAAGAAACCAATCCTGACAATACCTTGACCTCAAACTTTTATCCTCTGGAGCTTTGAGAAAATAAATTCCTTTTGTTTAAGCTACTGTTATGGGCTTACTATGTCCTCCCAAAATTCATAAATTGAAGCCCTAATCCCCAATATGACTAGGGCTAGGACCTTTTAAAAGGTAATAAAGGTTAGGTGAGATCATAAGGCTGAGGACTGTTGTCCTTATAAGAAGAGAAAGAAAAACCAGAGATTCCTCTCCGTCTGTGCATGTCCAGCGGAAAGGCAGCCATCTATAAGCCAAGGTGAAAGGCCTCACCAGAAACCAACCCCGATGGCACTTTAATATTGCACTTCTGACGTTCAGACTGTTAAAAAAAAAAAAAAAGTTTCTTTTGCCTAAGCCACCTCGTCTGTAGTACTTCGTTATGGCAGCCCTAACAAACTAACAAATACACTTGCCAACCATTAAATTTAAAAAGCATTTTTGTTTTTTCATATTAGAGAAGATGAAGTATTTAAATACCCCATTAAAAAAGAAAACCACAGCCCAGGTGATGGAAGTTCTTCATAAATCCTTTCTTACCTCCTTGAAGAATGTGGCAGGTGCCATTTCAGATCCATCCAGTGTTCGCAAAAGAAACATAGGCCAAGATGATGTACTCATTTTGTATCCTATTTTAAAAATTAAATCAGATATCATGAAAAAGCCTCCCTATGAAATTACAGCAAGTTGATATTAAAAATAGCGTTCGTTTAGTTCATTTACTATTCTCGAGAGAATAACTTTCTTATCGAGGAACTCAGGAAATGGGCCAGAGGAGTAGCTACATTCTCCAACTGGTGCTACGATAGCCACTGTATCATTTGGCGACACTGCTACAGTGGAGTAGAAACTCTCATTTTAGAGAAACCAGTAGCGGGAGATCATCAACATACATGTATACGTTGGGAATGGGCCATTACACTTGGGTAATCCAAACCAGAACCCAGGAGAGCTTCCATCTCTTACCAACAGCCTCACAAGTAGGGCAAAGGCTGCAAAAGACTTCCAGGCCCTCTTCCCCCCGCCTTCTCTCCCCCACTTTATTTTCTTTCAGATAAAGACAGTTTTCTGTCAAACTCAGTCAATGTACGCTAACGATGGTGCATTTCATTTTATGTAAACTTCACCTTAAAAAGCTGCATAAACACAACTCTAGTTAATGATATGCATGCTAAAATATTCAGGAGAAATATAATAATGTCAATTACTCTCAAATGTATTTTAAAATAAGATGATAATGACAGAACCTACGTAATGGATAGGTGGGTATTCATCGTAAAATTCTTTCACCTTGTATGTTTGAAATGTTTCATACAATATGTTAGAGAAAAATACAACTCTCACTTTAGCAATCCTTGCACACACTACATAAACATGATCTTCTCTTAGAATATATATTAGTTGCTATTAAAATAGGTATAATTTTTAGAGATCTTATAATTAATGGTGACTATAATAGCATCTGGAAACAGGGATCTGCTGGTTTTACTGCATTCTGGGGACACTCTGTTTCAGGCAGCATTTGCCTGCCTTGATACCAGAACTGGAGAGAACTTGTCATATATTCCTGATGAATACATGCAGTAAGACAGGGAGGCATATGAATCACTGGCCACAGATCCATCAGTAGGATAAAGCCTACAAAAAGAGTTTAGCTAGAAAGTTATCCCATAACAATCCTGTACCAAAACTCCCTAATACGATTAGGGAACTAATTGTTGCTTAGGAAAATGGGGGAAGGGAGATTTATTACATATTCACTCACTATTATTAGTGATATATAATAAGGTTATCCACAGCATATATTTTCCACACTGGTCAGAATATTGCATAAGAATCATTCCCTGTTCCTTAAGCCTTTCTCTTACCCCTTACCTTATCTTATTGCATCATGTACCATGATTTTTCTAAATTAAACATTTTTCTTAATTCTGTAAGTCCCTGAAGTCAAACATAGATTAAAAGGCTAAAAAATAGGGTAAAGTGCATATAAAACTCAAACAGACAAAACTAATATATGATGTTAGGAAGTGTAGGCAGTGGTTATCTTGGGAAAGAGGTGGTTATGACTGGAGATCAGCAGGAATGGAGCTTCTGCATTATGAGGGCAATCTGTTTCAGGCAGCTCTCATTTGCCTTGATACCAGAATGAGAGAGAACTTGTCATATATTGATAATAATCACGTCTCTTGATAATATTCACATATCTTGATTTGGGTGGTAGTTAAACAGGTGTTTTCATTTATAAGCTGTACACCTATGATTTATACACATTCGATTTTTATGTTAAAACTTTAAAATATCTTTTAAGTAATAACCTTTAAGTTTTAAATAAACCCATTTTAAAAGGATAATTAAATAAGTTGTGTTATATTAAAATGGAAACTAAACTATTCAAAAGTGCCTAATGAGTAAATTGGCAAAAACTGTTTATTTTTATATGCAGTGTGAAAGTATACATTAATTATCATGTGTTCTTATATATTTCATATTTCAGTTAACAAATTCTAAATGTAATTTGAAAAATAAATAATCATAATTTTGGCTATGCTTTTGAAATGCTGTATTTCTTTTCAACAAAATGGAAAGCATATTATCATATTATAAACAGAAATAAAATCCAAACAGGAAAACACTATGCCTCAGGTTTACACTTACATCTCTTACAGAATTCTGTATGATTCCAGAAATGTTATAAAAGTAAATAAAAAAAATATGAATGATATAAAGGAAAAGGGGGGAAAAGCAGAAAACACACACACCCTTAACCACCTTCTTAGAATAACACATTTCTGATTAGTATTTTTAAAAATATTTGAAGCCAAATTAAGACTAATTAACAATTAGAGCAAGAACAGTATAAAAATACATCACTAAGAATAGTTATTATTAATATATTAAATTTTTATTCTCAGGGAATTTTTCACCAGTAGGAGACAAAAAAATCCATTTTTTCCATTGAACTTTATAGTAGGGAATTTTCATTTTCAGCACTGTAAAGAAAAAACAAAAACAAAAACCCACCATTCACTCAGAATAAAATAAAGTGATAAATGAAATCACTTATTTTCTGTAGAATATCATGGTACACCTAAATAATAAAAGAAAAATTTTGCCCAAAATTAGTCACACACATTTTACATTTTAAAAACTTGGTCAAAATGAAGAACTTTGAACTTAAAAACCTTTACTGGTTAAGTTCCATCTATCTCCTCCTTTTCAAAAACCTAAAGGTACTCACCTTTCTCTCACTGAGATTTCTTCCCACTCTAGCGGAAATGGAATTCCCAGATTTACATCTAGAACCTGGATGTGGAATACCCTATGCTCACCCCCAAACCAAAAATGCTGAATGGCTCAGTGGGCAATACTGAGGAAGGAAGTGACTTGTATCAAATGTTATAAACTACTCCCCCAGAAGGGCTTCTGAATCTGCATGTGTAATCTAGTAGAGAAGCTTCTGAAATTTAAAGTTTGAAGACAGCAGGAGTCTTTCCCTGGAGTGGAAAACCTTTAGCACACATAAACCAAATGTGTACATAGTGAAACTCTCTAACCTTATGGTACTGATGAATTCCTCTCTCGTATATTTTCCACAGTAACCACCTGACCATCTATTTGTAAGGATGTCTAGGAATAGGTTTTTAAAAGGCCATTAAACCTATTTCTACTGAATATTACTAGTAAGAATATGTTATTTTAAAAACTGTTTATCCTTACCCAGTGGAGGCTGAAGTAAGTCCCCTTGCTGTTCACAGGTTCCAACGGGCTGTATGTCTGGAGAATCAACTAGTCTCCAAAAATCATTTTTGTCATCACTACCATCAAGGCGTAAACGTAACCTGGCACCAGTAACTCCAATAATCGTGGCAATACATGTCGAAGTCATATTGCGAGGGTCATGTGCTTCCAATTTCATACCAACTTTGAATTCATTAGTTGGTGGAATCTTAGACTATACACACACAAACACAATTTTGTTAAAGTGAATCAACTATAAGAAAAACAAATGGTCCGTTATGTTACCAGAATACTTGAGGAGCGTTTTAAGTAACGGTCACAGCAGATGGTAAACAAAGTTAAGAACTATAGGGGTCAAGAAAAAGATCTTCAAGCCCTCCCCTTGGCTTGATGTGCAGCATAAAAACACTGCCAACTGCCGGTTTTCCTCATTTGCCCACTTCCAGGCACCTAACTGTGGCCTTTAAAATGCACCCTGAGTGGCTTTCTAAAATAAGAATCTGATTAGGCCACTCCCCTTGAAATAAGCCAAATGGTAGCTCACCACTGCTTAAGATAAAAGTCCAAGTACTCATTACAATTTAAAAGCCCCCACAACGTTAACCTCATTCCCACACTATTGCCTCTATCCCGTTCTGTGCTGCAGCCACGCCATCCCTCCCACTCAGGTTCCCTCACACCCATGTGCCTTTGTTTTAGATGTTCTCTCTGCCTGGAATATCCTTCCCTTCACTCCAACCATCTCAGATAGCACCTCTTTTGTGAGCCCTCCCAATATAGAGTAGTCACACTTCTCATAATTAATTATGTGCATGTGTATCTTTCTGACATTCTTAATGAATGAATGCAGAGACCAGCTTTCTTACCTGGCACTACCACAATCTCACCATCTCCTCACACCACCTGAACCTAACAGTCACACGGACACCTTCCAACGATAGTTTACATTAATATATTCAACATCTACAGAATTTTAGCATACCTGTCTGAAACACTCTACAGGAGCACATGAAGATCCAGTCTTTTTCAAGTAACTGTCCCATTGGAATTCATCTGGAAATATATACACAAAATAACTTTTAATATATACAATATGTACTAATTTTCAAGAATAAAATGGGCTTTGGTTCCATTTTCTCTTTTAAAAATATTTTCTAATTAAGAGCAGATTCAAACTTCCTGATGTACATTTGATTACCAGTATAGGAATAAAAAAATAAGACAACTTCATTATAATAATGGCTATGGTATAAATTGTAAGCCAGATCTTCTCAATGCAATGAGGACTACAGCACAGTGATTCTAAAAATGTGGATTCTAGAAGCTACAGGATGTTTTATAGAGTGATAGCAATTTCTATTCATCTGGCTCTAATATAAATTTACTCAAGATGTGTTTTTACCATTTCATCCCATTAATGTGATGGTGCTTTGTTTTTCACGGGGAGCTAAAGGTGTTTAGGTGTGTGGTCTAGCAGAATTTTACGGAAAGAAAAAATCTGAGAACCAGAGTTGTTCCTCAATTGACTAGTTGATCTCCATCCAGGTGTCAAGAATATGATGACAGAACAAAGCAGTAAACCAGTCATCGGTACAGTCACTGATATAGATTATTTTAATGATCTACATTTTTTACACACTCTTGCCATCCTTTCTCTCACTTAGTCTTCATAATGCTAGAGCACAAGGTCAGAAAGCAATAGTACTCTGCCTGGCCTGAACTCTTCAATTCACTGTGCCAGTCAGATGCCAAAAGCACTGAGAGAAAAACTTGATAGCTGTATTAAAAACAGTATTCATTCATACAAAGTTTAATTCTCATCAACCATGAGGTTTTTCTATACTCTCATTTAATTTTGTCACTATATAAATATTGGTTTTGAGCTTGGCCGGTATGGCTCTATGGTTGAGCGTTGACCTATGAACCTGGAGGTTATGGTTCAATTCCTGGTCAGGGCACGCGCCTGGTTGCATGCTCAATCCCCAGTGTGGGGCGTGCAGGAGGTAGCTGACCAATGATTCTCTCTCATAACCTATGTTTCTATCCCTCTCTTCCTATCCCTTCCTCTCTGAAATCAGCACAAACATATTTTTTAAAAATACTGGTTTTGACTTTTCCCCTTCCTGAGGGAATGTGCATTACTAACCTCTTATATATCTTTTAAGGATATATAACACACTGAAACACACACACAAAGTGCGGAAAAATTTTTAACAGCCAGCTTTTCAGAAAATACAAGCAAACAAAAAGCCTGACTGGTAGTGTTTGCAGTCTTCTGCGATTTAAATACTACCACCATACCTGATTACAAGGTGCCAAGGAGAAGTCACTAACCACAAAGTTGGAAAGAGTTGTGTGCTCTCCATAGCTGGTGTGAACCAGCTTAAGTATGCCATCAACATATGAGTGTGATTTTACACATGTATGTACTAATATTATGTCATACTTAACACTGTGCACCCTGCTTTTTAAACTTAACAATAAATCTAAGAGATTATTCCATTAAAAAGAGACTGTGTTTAAATCCACTTTAGATGATGGGAAGTGAATGTTACCACACTGCTGAAAGGTATGCAGCAGAATGGTGAGACTATGGGCTCTGGAGTCACTCCTGCCTTCTTGCAGCCAGGCTCTGCCTATTTCTAGTTATGTGATCCTGAGCAAGTCATTTATTTCATTTCTCAGCCTCAGTTCCTTCCTTTATAAAATAGGGGATGTAATAAATATGGTACAAGGTATTTTGAGAATTAAGTGAAGTAGCATACATGTAAATCATTCAATAAATGGTATGTTATTATTATAAAACTAAATGTCATTATTGTCATTGGTTTATGAATACTGAATAGCTTTTTCGTAAGTGAACACTAAGATCCATGGCTCCAAAATTCAACTGGGCAGGATATTTCAGTGACCTCCTAAGCACTAACTAAACAATCAGGAGACCCAGGGTTCTAACTGAAGCTCTACCAACATATGGTTTTGGAGAGCATTTTTTTAAAGAAAAAAAAGAAAAAAAAAACATGAATTGGGGATTGGGGGATCTGGCTAGGATGTCCTAAGGAGGTCACTGTTATATCCTTATCAGTTTAATTTAGATTTGACACATCTACAATACCACAGCTAAATTCCCGACCAGGAGCCAAAACAGTACTCTGATTATTGTTTGCACATGCCCATGGTTCCTTCTGGTTTTATTTGCACTCTATTCTAGTCCGTTATTTGTCCAAATATCTTTTTGGCAAGCTGAACATAATCTATGTGAGCCCCCTGGTCTTCTCCAGAATAAATCAGAATCATAATGTCTTCTAGTGTGAGGCTGGAGTTCAGAGTCTAGTAAAGATGGGGGAAATATCTGGAATCAGAAACTTCTCAGCTGAACGATCACTGCACCACTACTTCACAGCACTCATCACAATTGTAGTTGTTTATTTAATGTCTACCTTTCCTCCTAAACTCAAAGAAGGGAGGGATCATGTCTGTTTCATTCATCACTGGATTCCCATAAAAGGTAGCCAGTATGTGTCAGGCACTGTCCTAGCTACTGGAAATTCAGTGGTTAATAAAATGGACAAAAACCCTGGCTCTCTTAGAGCTTAAACTTCTAGCAGTCACTCACTGATTTCTAAAATAAGATGTTAAGTTCAGGACTATGGTTCCTTCTTGTTTGACTTATACTCTATTCTAGTCCATTATTTGTCCAAATGTCTAAAATAAGATATTAAAAGCAGGTCTCTCAGAAATATCTGCAGATGTCTGTCAACCTGATCAATCTCATTTTTTTAAATCATAAGTTCGAGAATTTTGAAAAGTTACTAGCTTCAACCTTCAAGAATATATTTTATTTACTTTTATGAAACGTTCAGAATAGCTAAATCTATAGAGACAGCAAGTAGCTGCCTAGAGCTGGGGAGGGGAGAAGCATTGGAAGAAAATGTGGAGTGATTACTAACTGGGTACAGAATTTCTTTTTAGGGTGATAAAAATGTTCTAAAATTGATTATAATGATGGTTACACAACTCTGTGAATACACTGAGAACCACTGAATTGTATACTTTAAATGGGCGAATTGTTTATGTAAATTACATCTCAACAAAACTGTTATATTGTAAAAACAGATGGAATTTGCAGGGATAAAGAAGAACATTCTAACCTAATGGCCTCCATTTTCTTGGAGGGTTTTAGAGGTTGGAGAGAAGAGCTGAAGGACAAATAAGGTCAATGGGAAAAAGAAGGAAGCACTGGGGGCCCAGCATTGAAAGAGAATGATTCCATGGAGATTACCTATAGAGGCAACCTTCCTGTGAGAACAGAAAGGCATAGATGAAGGCATATATGAAGTATTACAAGAGTGGGGAGGGCAGAACAGGTCCAACAGAAAGACAAACGGAAGGGCAAGAGGTTCGTCTGGGAATCTCTGGTAAACACAATAAGTTTGTCATTTTTTTATTCAGCCTCTTGTGTTCCTATGACTTATTTTCTCATTTTCCTTAAGAGCAGGTGCAACAAGTCAGATGTACCTCCAGTGTCTCTGGTGCAGTGCTATATACATGCTGTTTACAATAAAAATTAATTGAGTGATAATAAATAAAATTAACATCTATAGAACATATACAATATACCTAGGAATTATACTAGGTACTTTATATTCATTTTTTAAATTTAGATTCCAATAATCCCATGACATAAGTAGTAGGATCCATGTGCTACTGAGAAAAAAAATAGACAAAGAATGTTTAGTAATTTGCCCAATGTCACAAGGCCATTAGAGTGGCTCAGTTGACTGGAGCATCATCCCACACACCAAAAGGTTGAGGGTTCGATTCCCAGTCAGGGCACATGCCTAGCTTGCAGATTCGATCTCCCATCAGGTCACATACAGGGGGAATCAACTGATATCTTCTCTTATCAATCAATGTGTCTCTCCTTCTCTCTCTCTGTCTCTCTCTCTCTTCCTCCCTCTAAAATCAATAAAGCCATATCCTCAGATGAGGATTTTAAAACAAAAGAAGAATGAGGCCAGGATTTCTAGAAGAGGTCTGACTGACCTATCAATGCCTAAGCTTTTATCTACTTTTATCAACTATCTTTTGACCATCAAAAACAGAGTTTCACATTGATTGTAATGTAAGGATGTTTTTTTATTCATAATAAAGTTATTTTAAATTGGTAATACGTGGTACTTAATAACTAGATATCTTTAATTTGGCAAAATTTGCATTGAAATACATGGTTATTTTTTAATGTAATGCCATACCAATTTACCTCTAAGTAAAACCAAAGTAAAAATTTCAAAATAAAAACTACTTCCTGACCTTTCTTATCACTTAGGTTTCATATTTACAGGAGTTTGCTGTACAGAGAGTATATAAAAGCAATAAGAGTTCATATTAACACTGACTGAGGAAAAAATATGTGTTTAAATACTTTAAAACCTACCACCTTGTTTAGATGTGTCCGATTGAGAAGTTTTCCCTTGATTATCCTTCTTCACATTCATTGAATCTAAAAAGAAAACAGTAAGCAATATCAGAATACTATTGCAATAGTCTGAAAGAGCACTTAGTAAAACTATAAACTAAAACTATTTTCTGATAGGAGCCAGTTTTAATTTTTTATAATTAATATTCTTTTTTTTCTTTTTTCTTTTTTTTGCACAGGACTTCATTTTCTAACATGTTGTGTACCTTATAATGTGCTTATTTATTTTGTTTCATTTTATGTCTCACTCAAATGTAAGCTCCAAAAGAGCATGGATTTATTTAATTTTTTCTGTTTTGTTCACTTCTATAGTCTCAGTGCCTAGAATATGACCTGGTATGCAATAACACCCTCAAGGATTTGTTGAATGAATAAATAAGCTAAAACAAGTTGAGCTGATCCTTACAATATTCAAATTAACATGCCCTAGAAATAAAGTGGATGTTTTTGACAGTTTAAAAAATAACAAGAAAGCTAGAATGTAATATAATTCAATAGACTAGGCAGAGTTTTATGCCAAACTGAGGAGCTCAAACAGTGCTGGAACTTATAACTACCCAAATCTAAGATATTATATTATTTTGTCCACATATATTACAGTATATGTCTTAAAGATATATAATTTTAAAAGTCATTCATTATATTATTATTATTCTGAAAAATTAAGCTTCCTTAATATTAATATCAAATAAGCAGTCAGTGTTCCTATTTCCCTAATTGTCTTAATTATTTTAAACTAGAGGCTTGATGCCCAAAATTTGTGCAAGGGGTTTGGCCCTCGCAGCCCCAGCTTGTCTCAGACCTCGCAGACCAGGCTTCGTCCAGAAGGTCGTTCAGCTGCCGTCCAGTCTAATTAGCATATTATGCTTTTATTATTATAGATGCGTCTGTTTGAATCAGGACATGAATAAAATCCATACATAGCAATGGTTGATATGTCTCTTAAGTCTATTGATCTGTAGGCTTTTTTGTCCCCATTCCCCTAGCAATTTTTTTGCTGATGATACCAGTTTAGAGTTTTCCAATCTGGATTTTGATGACTATTTCCTCGTGGTGCTGAGTTCTTCTGGTCCTTATATTTTTTCTAAATTGGTACTGGTATTTTGATCAAGAGCTTAAATAGATTCAGATTTGGCTTTGCAGGGGTGGGGCGGGGGTTAACAGAAGATGACTTCATATGTGATGTGGGTACTTCTCACAGGAGGCTCATAATTAACATCTAGTTCTTTCTCTTTTTTGTGATATGACTAGCCTATATCCGTGGTTGGCAAACTGCGGCTCAGGAGCCACATGCGGCTCTTTGGCCCTTTGAGTGTGGCTCTTCCACAAAATATCATGGCCTGGGAGAGTCTATTTTGAAGAAGTGGCGTTAGAAGAAGTTTAAGTTGTAAAAATTTGGCTCTCCAAAGAAATTTCAATCGTTGAACTGTTGATATTTGGCTCTGTTGACTAATTAGTTTGCCGACCACTGGCCTAGATCCATTAGTTCATGGAGGTATTCTAATTTTATCATCCTGTCTTTATTAACCAGAAAAATTCTGTAGAGAGAAACCTCCCCTCTTTAACCATTCAGTTACCCTGAGGTACAGATCATATAGAAAAATCACAATCAATATTTTATTTTGTTTACTTTCTAATTTTCAAAATAAGTTGGATCCCTAGCATTCTCCATAAATGACCAATAAGTTTTCTTTTTTAGTATCATTATGAACTCATGTATTTAAACATACTTGAAGTGCTTCCATCTATTGCTATTTTACCCTTGACCTGTCGGTCAGGTGACAAGCTTCTTAAAGAAGGACCTATAAGTCATGTCAAGTGTACCATTTAAGGTAACAGATCTACTTTCTGGTTATAACTGAGTAACTCTTCAAGATATGTGAACACGTGAAGGAAGTAGATGGAATGCTTTGTATTTAAATAATTTGGCTAGTAAAAAGAAAGTACATATTTATATTTACTAAATAATTCTCCTTAAGATTTTCTATTAGGAAAGAGAGTAAAACTAAAGACATGATTCCTGCTCTAGAGAAGCTAAAATGAAGTTCCAGAGACTACACTAAACTAATGCACTTGATAAAATTGTGAACATCAGAGAATAACATTCAGTATTCAGCCAGAGAAAAAGTCATGGGAGACATAGGACTTGAACTGAGTCTTAAAGTAAAGACAGGATTTAGCATAGCAAAGGTGTGAAGTATGTATGTGGGGGGGAGCACAACGCAAAACAGTGCAAATGACTGTGGCATATTCACAGTACAGTGAGCAGCCTTCTCATTAGAGTAAGTCAGGATTAAGTATTTTTTTAATCACTCCTATTAGAGTTAGAAGATTTAGATTCTGATTTTGGCATTGTCACAGATTGTTCTATGATCTCCCTCAGAGTTTTTTATTTATAAAATTCGGAAGGGATGACAAGATTATTGTTAATAGCTCTTCAGTTCTAAAATTCCAATTCTAAGCACCTAACATCTTGCTTTACTTTTATGTTTAAAAGGATTTTACAAACATTCAGTCTGCCAGAAGATACTCATTCCAAATAAATAACAAACAAACATTACCATTTTTAGGTAAGTAAATTTTACCTCCACAGGCTGTTCGCCCCATGGTATCCCTTTCTGATGTTCCTTCCTACAAGGAGAAAAATCAATTAATGCCTCCTTTTTAGCATACTTCTGAAGGGTCATATTAGAAACTGGGTACAGAGTTAGTAGTTGCTGAAGGGAGGGGAAGAGGGACTGGGGAGTGACTGATTACAGGTATAGCTATGGGTAAGGGATTTCTTTTTTGAGGTGATGGAATGTTTTAGAATTGGATAGTGGTGATGGATGCACTGAACTGTGTACTTTAAAAGGGTGGATTTTATGATTAAATCATTTTAAAAAGCAGATGGTAAATTGGTAGAGTTGGGATTCAAACTGAGGCCTACCCCAAGACCCCACTTATGCATCTTTTATGGGGAGGTAAAGCAATCATGACTGTGTTGGTGAAACTTGTAAGAACTGCAAAAGTCTAACAAGATAATTACTTGTTAGAAGGCATGTGTATTTTGAAGCCATTAATTCATTAATCCAGACTTTTCCTGCATGTCCTCAATCTGACATTTACTCTACAACAAAGATAAATAAAATATTGTCTTTGCTCTCCAACAGGTCCACTAGTCAGAAATAAGCATATGAACAAAACACACGATTTTATTTACAGATATTTATTTACAGACTCTGGGCATAATTGCATTTATCAAGGGTTTATGCACACAAGAATAAAAAAGGCAAGGCCTCTGTCCTCTGGGAGTTCCCCTGCAGGGTTTCCCAGGATGTTTCTACCCGACATTTCTACCCAACAGCGGATATCAAAGCAAGCCTTATATAATACAAGCTGTTTACCTGTTCACCTCTCATCACAGGTTGTAAAGTAATTGAGAACACAGGCCACACATTACTCTCCCTTGTAGCTCTCCCAAAGCTAGCACAAAGCATTGTGCTTAAAAGTACTCAAATGTTGCCGAAACCGGTTTGACTCAATGGATAGAGCATCGGCTTGGGGACTGAGGGGTCCCGGGTTCGATTCCGATCAAGGGCATGTACCTTGGTTGCGGACATATCCCCGATAGGGGGTGTGCAAGAGGCAGCTGATCGATGACTCTCTCTCATCGATGTTTCTAGCTCTCTATCTCTCTCCCTTCCTCTCTGTACAAAATAAATAAAAACATATTTAAAAAAATAAATAAATAAAAAATAAAAAAGAACTCAAATGTTCACCGATTGTAACTAATAGTGACTAAACTTCAATATAAGTGCATATATAGGTCTGAATAGAATTATATAAGTAAAAGATTTAAGTATGGAGAGAAACATGGGACATGTGCTAGCTTGTGAATAAGGCTTACCTGGGATGGTAAAGATGGTGGTGTATATACTAACTGGGAGGGGGGAGGAGGTAAAAGAATGGTATCTTATAAATATCTCCTGTGTGATATAATTCTAAATGTGTAAAATTGTATATAAGTTTGCATAATGTAATACAAAACTATTTTGGTGATCCTTCTTATTTTGCACCACAGGTGGTGAGATTTTAAGTGACCTTTATTTTCTTCTTTATATTTTTATGTATTATTTGAACTCTTTATAATGGTATATATTAAATAATCAGACAAAGTTATTTTCAAGGGGGGAGGGAGTGCCCTGATAGTTTAATAATCCCTGAATGTTCTTATATTATTAAGGAGCTCTATATATGCAATGCTGGTCTATCACACTTAACAAGTTATACATACTATTAAAGAAAAAATTATACTGTGATAATTACTACTGGCGGCTATATCAATTACATATAAATATTACTTCAAGTGCTTAAAGCCGTTACAAGTTACTTAATCTGAGTCTTGGTTTTCCCATATTTAAATGAAAACTAATACCATCTAAACTTCATACTACAGTCATGAAAATTAAAGGAAGATAGTATATAAGTAAAGCACTTAGCATAGAATTGTGAACAAGTGGAAACTCAAAGATGGTTTTCTATCATACCCCATCTTCCCTAATTAAAACTCCCTGGGAAGAGTGAGTTTCAGCATTAGCCCTTAACATTATGTTCGAAAATGAAACTATATTCCTACTTTGATTCCTGACCATTACTTAATTACTTTTTTAAAGTATGGACCAAAAAGATGTTTAAAGAAATAAATGCTCCAAATATATGGTAATGGAAGTAAACTAGATTTGGGTGGTGAGCACACCATTGAGTATATAGACACTGTACTATGATGTTGTACACTTGAAATATTATTAACCAGTGTTACCTCAATATATTTAGATGAATGGATTTAAAAAAATTAGGCTAGCACTCTTTTAGAATGCCTGACATTTAAATTTCCTTTACCAAAAGGGCAGTTACACTAAATCTAGCAGGCTTTGACCAAGCATAGATAATCTGGAATCTTTTACAAAACCCATTTGTTTTGCTTATTGTAACTTGTCATAGATTTAAGAGCTAAAAATGCTTTATCCATGTGTTATGCACATATGCATATAAATTCTTTGGTTAATATCTTCCCGCTTCCCCTCCCTGAAGGCCTGGAGGGATCAGGAGTGGGTGAAGGGGTTGATGGAGGGGGAAGAGAAGGAGACAGCTGTAATATTTTCAACAACAAAGGTAAACTTTTTTAATGGTTTGAAAAGTCATGCATTGTTTTAAACCATTTTCTCAATACATTTAAACAACATAAACAGTAAATTAATAGTGGAACGATTAAACCTAAAATTCCTAGTTGCACCTATCTGATTCTACAGAAAATTCTAGCTTTTTAAAGAAAAACTGTTTTAAAGGACTATTTAGCAAGTCGATGAGCCTGTAATTCTACGATTACAGAACCCCTTCCATTATTTGCTTGTTTGAGATTTTCGTTTTTCCTTCCCTTGTTTTTGTTTTGAAAATACGGTAATATACCTTGAGTCTCTCATTAGAGACTACTATACCTGAGGAGTCAATAAGGATGACAAGAACAGGAACTAAAACAAGTTTAACAAGCAAGAAATTTCCCAGGGCCCTTTGCATTTCTGATGTTATAAACTAGATGGAATTACGGCATCTCAATGTGAAAGCATAAAAATAAACTAAACGCAGATGTTGAGCTGGAAAAAAAAAATAAATGTGCTCCCATACTAATAGCAAGGTTTGCTGCTATATTTCTCAGACAGAAGTCCCATAGGTGGGAATATGTCCAAACTTAAACATTAAATGATTAGACTTATTCAGAGCCTCCCATTTCGCAGATATTAAAATCCACTATTTGAAAATGAAAAATGACCTTAAATTGAGATAACGTGTAGAAAAGACTCTCAACTATATTATATATTTACCAGACTAATCATTTCCTAATGATCACCAGGGTTTTGGTAATAAATATGATGACACCCATAATACAAAGTGTTACTGTGATACCTCACTTTCTGCCCTCTAGCTTCTTCCCTCTTCTACTATATCTGCTTCCAAAACTTCAATTACTTCCCAGACATCAACACCCATTTTGGTGTCAATCCCCTTGGCACTTCAGGAGCCCTCTGTGATAGGTCACCCCTCATTCCTGACACCTCTCCTCTTTGAGTCTCAGGCATATGTTATTCCCTGGTTGTCCTATCTGTATTACCCCTCTGAATCTATGCCCTCCTTCTGTCCTAGCCATTGATCTTCCCTAGTCACTCAATCTGTTCCTCTAGCTTCTAGGAATTTGAGTTTAGAATATCATTCTAGTCCATGGCTGGTATAACACTACTATGTGTATGACTCATATCAGCATCTCTAGTCCCAATCTCTCTCCAAAGTTTATAGTCTAGCCAATTGAACATCAGTTTGAATATCTCACAACCACCTTAAACACTACATATTTGAAAAAAATCAAACTCGTTTGCCCTCCAAAAGGTGCTCCTTTTTCTCTGCTTCCTATTTTAATAGGCATTATGAATTCCCAATCTTTCTGAGTTAAAAAATAATCTTTTGTCCAATATCTTATCAGTTACCAAGTTCTGTTGATTCTTGAAAATCAGAAAGCTAGTAGTGAAAGAAAATTAATTCAAACCTAGGTTTGTCAAGACACCAAAATACTGGGATCCAATACACTGTACATACTCTGAAAGGCAGAAGCAAAAAGATATACCATGCATCCTGGACAGAATGGATCCATGAGGATAGGAGAAAATAAAAATTATGGCCCCTGGGGTCTAATGATGGTGGTACTGGCAGTGGTAATAATAAATACTAAGGGCTGCCACTCACTGAGCTTTTGCTAAATGCCTGGCTCCCTATTAGGGCCTTTCAATACAGTTTTCTTATATAAAGTGGGTGGGTGAAGGGGTTGATGGAGGGGGAAGAGAAGGAGACAACTGTAATACAGTTTTCTTTCAATACAGTTTTCTTATATAAAGCCTATTACAATCCTGTTATTAATTGATACTGTTATTAATGTTCATTTGAAAGTTAAGGATACTGAGGCTCAAAGATCTACCTAAGATCACCCAGCTAAATTTGAACCTAGGTTCATGAATGCTTAACCATTATGCTAAAATTGCTTCTATTGTATTTGTGTGCATGCCTTATCTCCCCTTCTAGACTATGAGCTTTTGCGGACAGTATCAAGTCTGGTTCATCTTTGTATTCTCCAGGGTCTAGCCAGTGTCCACCACATAATAGGGCCCTGAAAATGTTTGCTAAACAAGTAAATAAAATCTGCTATAGTGCCGGCTACTGATATAGTACCAGACATTGTGGTTTAAAAAAAAACTTGGTGAGATTTTTCTCTTGGCTGTCATCATTGTCTTCTCTGTTCCTTTTTCTAATGTCTTAATTTACATACAATTCTAGGTCAATAGGCCAAGGAGAAAATTCTTTGAGACCTGAAATAGTCCCTCACTCCCCATATCTCTTTTCCAACATTTGCCAGACTTTTGTGTTTTTACTCTAAATTTAATTTATAGGATGGTTTAGGTCTCAAAAAGATAGGCAGCAGCATAAATAGATTAGTATTACAGGTATTCTTTTTCAAGGAGAACTAAGAATATAAGTTGCATCAGAATTCAGTTTATGCCGGGACCGGTTTGGCTCAATGGATA